ATTTTTATGTAAATTTGAAAAAGTAGATTAATTTTTTTTTTTTTTTTTTTTTTTTTGGCATTGTATGTTGTAGCCTTTGCGCCATTCTTGAATGAGAGTTATAAGTATCCACAAGTTCATTTTCTATGGGAAGGGGGTGTTAAGGGTATCTAATACAATAAATTGTATAGGCTTTTATCTATAAATAGGTAGAGGGTAGTCTCATTTTAGTTTGGCTGAAATTAGGGTTTCAAGTTGGGAGAGAGAGAGGACTCTCGAATGATCGTCAAACATTGTGATTCATCTTCATTTAGCAATACAATTTTACAGTTTGTTCTTTTGCTTTTTAATCTATGTTGGTACCTATCATTTGGTATCAGAACATCGATTTTAGGGCCAATGACAAAAAAAAAATAGAGGAAAGTTTGGGCTTGGTAGTGGATAAGATGAAACTAGATTATTGGCCATAGAAAATGCGAGAGTATGCTACAGAAGAATGATGAACAAGACACTTGTGAATCTGATCGGGCACAAAAGGAGAATTAAAAGGAGAAGATGCAAGAAATTCCTCGGTTCGACTGAGAGAGTGGGCTACCAAGGAAGAGAGATTTTGTTCTAAATTTCACCTCCAAACCAGAGAAATTGGAGGCAATGGAGAGGCCATTGCATGGTCTTTATTGGCAGATCGACTCCAACCTATACAAAATTGAGGCGAATTGGAGAAATTATTTGGAGAATGATTCTGACCATCAATAGATGTCTATGATGCACTGATACAAACCCGTGTGTCCGACACGATATGTGTCGAATACGTCGACTCGTGATTTTTAAAAAAAGTACCAATATGGCACGTTTATTAAATTCTTCAAAATTCTTCATTTATATAGTTTAAATTTAGTTTTATACTTATTATTGAATTTTTTTTGTTGAAATCTTTTAAATATGAGTACTTATTTATTATTTTCTAATAACTTTGAGTTAAAAATATATAATAACTATAGTAAGAAAGAAAAATGATTATTGTAGAGTGTTCGAAGAGTGTTGGTATCAACACATATCCAACACGTGTCGGACACAAACATGCTACCTTAGTTAGAGTGTTTGTGCTACTTGGATAGACGTCGTGATTTTTAGAAATTTTAGCCCTTGAGCAGCAGAAGGCAATGCAAATTCACCTTCACTTAGTTGGGGTTTTATCATTTTAATGATTCGGGCCTGTGCCTAAGTTGTACTCTTATGTCCTATCCGCTTTGGAAGATCATGTGTCAATCTTACCCCTAACGGAATTATTTCGCACTTTAGGATTTACAAAGTTGACCTCTATCTTAGAGTCACTTAAAGAAAACCAAAAAATAATTTCTATAGACATAAATATTAAATCGTGTTGCCAAAAGCCGTCTTAGCTCTAACCGCCTCGTTCCGCTAGTTCCCTGTAAGGGCCGGGGGGGATGATACTCAATAAGTATGTCGGTATATTGTATAACGTGTTTAGAATTTAAAAAAAATGAAAATTCATAACATACGTAGAGGAGACAATTTTATTAGAACTTACGTGATAAACTCCAGCCCCCATATCATGCTAACATTCATAGTCATATTCTTATGGGACCCATAATCATGATTCCAACATCTAAAACAACGTAAACAATTCACATACAACATCGCGAACTTACCTATAAAAATGGGTTGAGAAGTTGAGGATGATTTGGCCCTTGGACAAAATTGAGGCTCCCTTTGACTTTACAAATAACAAAACACTACTTTAATATGCATATCTTATGTGTCAGAGAGAGAAGAAGATGAATAATGCTGGCTGTACCGAAAGAGGCTCACAGGGGCTTTACAGAAATTTTGAAAAATGTTGAGCTGGCTAGGTCACACTTTTTCTTGTTCGTTGACTTCGTCCCTTTTTTGTCATTAATAGAAAAAATAACAAATAACATGCCTTTTTCTTCAGAACAGGGACGAAGAAAAGCGGGAAAACTTCTGCATTTCTGCCATTTCTCATTGTCGCCATTTTCTTCAATAATGCCTTCTTTTGTCTGACGGGAAATTGCATATTTGTGTGGTTAGAAGTCCTCACCGTCGACGGCAAGGCAACCGGCGCTGTACCTTGGGGGAAAACCCTCCTCATTTTTGATTTTTTTCCCATTCTATTCCAATATTTGGCAGCCCATCCTTTCGTTCGACGGCCGACCGTAGTATACGATGATGTTAAACTACTGGAGTCGGGTTGTATAGGGTTCGCGTGTACCCGCAAAGGGTTCGATCTTCGTTGGCAGCCATCAAAACGATGAAGCATTTACCCAAAATTTGGGACGCAAGGAACGTAATCTTTTTAGGCCTATAACATTTGGGAGCTATCACCATTTTGGACTAACTTTCTGGTACTCAGTAAGTAGAAAATGTAATGATCTGAGTTTTGATTTTTGAAATTTCACTTTTCTTGAAGATTTTTCTGCTTAATTCAAATAAGACTAACGAGTAAGAAATAAATTATGGAAAAAATGAGTTTTGATGTTACTTGCCAAGCGGAACTGTAAATATTATATCTAACCTACTTCAACATGGTTGATGTATTGTCAAATATGTCTAGATTGATAGCAATTACACAATCTGTTTAGGTTTTACAGTAAAAACATTATCACTTACATAACAATTTCAAGTTTGAGTATTAATTTGTTTGAGGATGGGAAGATAAGTGATAATGCAATGTAGTGGAACAGAGACGGCGAAGGCGTCGTGGAATTTCAGAGAGCTACTGCATTGTATAATCCGCAGCTAACTGCAATGCTGAGTAGTCTAAATAGTGATCTTGGAGCAGATGTTTTCATAGCTGCAAACGCATTCGAAATGCACATGAACTTTATTTCTGATCCTCAGACTTACGGTATGTTTATTTACTTTACTTCTATACTGCCTTTTCTCATTCAAAAAGTCAGCAATAATAAAAAAACAAAATAAAAATCTACAACTATATGTTTAACTGGGCCGGGCAGCGATCGGCCTTTCCAAATTTTGAGCAGACCAGCACTCTGTGGCCCGTAGGCCGGTCCCAAGGTGCTGGGATGGGCACACGCGCCTCGAGTCACCCTCTTGGATTGGTCCATTAACCTATTATGACACCATTAGCTACTAATTAGTTAGATAGTATAATACTTATTTTTTATCTTTACGTGTGCTACTTTTTTTTGATCTATTATTTACTTAGTTTCCCAACATTCAGCTTCATCTCCTGCCCAAAAAATGAACATAATTACGAAATGATTTCTAAGTATAACATAACATCCTGCCCGGAATTAATGAATTGGTTTCCTGTCATTATCTTTAGCAGTTTTTCCTACCTTTTAAATATTACATTAATATAGATTGGACTTGTCATAATTTAACTTCTTTTTTTCTTGCAGCATAGGAAATTATGAAAACTAGAAATGACGAACTTGTTTCAAAATTTGGAAATGACGAACTTCTTCCAGAATTCAATAAGACAAAATGGGCCGACTGTACCAGAGGTGGGTATGATGTTCAACGATGATAAAGAAGCGTATGACTTCTACAAAAGGTATGCCTATGATATTGGTTTTCCAGTTCGAAAAAGAAACTCAAAAAAGGGGGATGACGGACTATTGAAATATGCGACATTTACATGTAGTCGTGAAGGTCGAAGACCGAGTAATGCAAGCGGCTCTTTAAATCCACAACCAATCAGTCAAACAGATTGTAAAGCAAGGATCTCTGCTTCTTCGAATAGTCATGGAATGTGGAGAATTAATACTGTCCACCTTGACCATAACCATAGAACTAGCCCTTCCAAGTCTAGGTTGTACCGATGCAACAGAGAGTTGAGTGCAACTGTGAAACAGAAACTTGAAGTGAATGATTTTGCAGAAATTCCGTTACATAAAAGTTTCAACTTCGTAGTTGTTGAAGCAGGTGGATATGAGAATATGACGTGTGTGAAAAAGGACTGTCACAATTATATTGAACAAGTGAGGCGATTGCGACTTGGGGAAGGAGATGCGGCTGCAATACAAAGTTATTTTTCAAAAATGCAAGCACGATGCTCAGGTTTTTACTTCAGTATGGATGTAGACGACGAGTCTCGCCTAAAGAGCGTGTTTTGGTCCAATAATAGGTGTAGGAAGGCATATATGGAGTTTGGGGATGTTGTCACATTTGATACAACTTACCTCACTAACAAGTATGACATGCCATTCGCACCTTTTGTTGGTGTAAATCATCACGGTCAATCAACTTTGTTCGATTGTGGATTGTTATCGAACGAGGACACGGATACCTTTGTTTGGCCGTTCAAGACATGACTTGAGTGCATGCATGGTAGAGCTCATCATGGAATAATTACTGATCAAGATAGGGCTATGCAAAATGCTATTGAGATTGTTTTCCCAGATACAAAGCATAGGTGGTGTTTGTGGCACATTTTGAAGAAGTTGCCGGAGAAGTTTGGGTACTATGTTGATAAGGCTTCCATATTTTTGGCTATACATCAATTGGTGTATGATTCACAGAATATTGAAGAATTTGAATTAGGTTGGAAAGAGATGATCGAGACATATGAGTTGATAGATAATGAATGGTTGTCGGGGTTGTATGTTAATAGAGGTCGTTGGGTGCCTTGCTTTTTGAAAATGGCTTTTTGGGCGAGGATGTCCACAACTCAGTGAAGTGAGAGTATGAATGTGTTCTTCGACGGTTATGTCCATTCGAAGACCTCTCTGAAGCAGTTTGTGGAACAATATGAAAGAGCACTCAGAAGTAAGGTCGAAAAGGAGTTCCAAATTGATTTCAAGTCATACTCACAAACTGTACCATGTGCCATGAATTATGAAATCAAAAGGCATTTTCAATCAGTGTATACTATTTCAAAATTCAGAGAAGTCCAAGAAGAATTTAAGGGTAAGGTATATTGTGATCTCATATCTGAAAAGGAGGGATCTTCAGGGACCACGTATGTGGTACGAGAGGATGTCCTCTATTTTGAGCAGCGGAAGAAGAAAATTTTTTTTGTCTCATTTGAGAGAGCGACATCTGAGTTTAGATGCAGCTGCCACTTGTTCAAATTTCGAGGCATTGTTTGTAGACATGTGATTGCGATGTTGATTCATAATGACGTCACACAGTTGCCTGAGCATTACACATTATGAAGGTGGAGAAGAGATGTTAGCAAAGCATACACAAGAGTTGTAATGAATTACGACGGTCTGGTCAGTACCCCCGAACAGTTGAGGTATGACAGTATGCGTAAAGCTTTTACGGAGGTGGCTGACCTTGCTGCAGATGATGAGTGTCGGACACGTGCCCTATTGGACTGGATAAAAGTACAAGCGAATGAGCTGAAGTCTACAAAGTCGTGTATTGCAAGTAATATCGTTTCTCACTATACTCCTTCACAAATTGCTACAACCAACAACATACGGGATCCCAATGTTACAAAGAAAAAGGAGGCACCCCGACGACTTCGAAGAAAAAGTCCGTTGGAGTTAAAGAAATCAGGGGTTTGTTCGTCTTTCCACATCTATATTCTTCTACGGCCATGAATTGCGTGTTCTAATTTCATTATATTCTACATGCAGGCAAGTTCGACGACGAGCAAGGGGAAGAGGCCAAGACAAAGGCACAGTAATACTGAGGAGGCTGTACCTGAATTTGTAGTGTCGCAAGAACAATCTTCAACGCAAACACCATTCTCTTATTCACAACTATTGTTGGTGAGTACCACAATATAATTTAACTATTTATTTTACGTGTTATTTACGTTCTTTGTTTATGTAGGGCGATGCCAAAAGCTTTGTCTGTACACGACCGTTGCCAACATCGGATGCGCTCCCTCCATTGCCAACGAATGTTATATTCCATCTACAAGGTGATGACGAGGTTAATTTACTACATTTCTATATGATTTCTTCAAATACGTGTACTAATTTTTCTACTATTCGGCAAGTCACCCATTTCCTTACTACTATATGCCTATGCCGCCACAAGATGGTCCAACCTTATAAGTGGGAACAATTTTGAGCATATGCTACGTCTCTGCCACCAATCATTTTGCATAACGAATGATGGTAAGAAAGACATGGATGCAATCATAAGCTCTCAAGTCCTATGAAATAGCAGTCTGCATTTTTGTTGCACTAGTAAGTGAGGAAATTGTGTTATTAATTTCATTGCTGCATTTACTTTATCTTTAATTTATAGTATCGGACATATTTCATCAGTGTGTGTTGAATGGGAGTATGCATTTCGTTTTGGTTTATAACTTAGGTTTTGGTTTGGTCTGCATAGATTTAAGTTATCCTATATTTAATTGGATAAACAAAGTTTGGCTAATAGAATGTGGTCGGACTTACTGTTTAAATAAAGTTTCGTATGAGTTGCACTCCATGAATGAAAAGGTCTTTGTGGGACAAAAACTTTTCAAGAAATTGAAGAATTCTATCATTCTTATATGAATTCTGTAAAGGGCTCCAAAGAGGAAGCTAAAAATTGTCTAATTTATTGCTACAAGAACGTCATCAACGGCTTCTCAACTATGCAAGGAATGCTTTTCACTATACTCAATTTTAATTAGTTTGGATTACTAGCACAACAATGTTTATAATTTTGGGTAGAATTACAAAATGGTGGGTTTGTAGGAAGATTGTCGGGCTCCAGAATGTGGATGATTTGGGCAAGTTCAACGATGTTGAAGCTCCTAATGCCCCAAAACAGTGAGGGCTCCAAAAGCTCTCGATTGAGTGCAAAGAAGCTGGCCGACATCTCATGAAGATACATGAGTGATGAGAGAAACAGAGAAGTGTGGATGCAGAGAGGCAGTATGAGCGATGAAGTAAATTAATGAAAGAAATTAAGTGCTGCTCCAAATTAGTAAGGAATATTTGGCGTGTTTTACAATTATTTTGTGCTAGTGTTGCATTATGGCAGAACTTAATCCTTTTTTTCTCCTTCCAGCATTAATGTAATTGTGATATCATTTCAAGAATTTACTGTCTAGTTTAGTGGAGGCTGGTGCCGGTGCCGGTGCCGGTGGTTGTGGGTAGTGGGTTCCTGCTTTATGATTATTATTATTATTATTATTTTTTTGGGTAAATGTCATTTTTAATTTTTAAATATATTGATCAACTGGGTTTGTCTAATGGGTATGACATGATAACCATTTTAGCTTTGATGTCTAGAAAAACTCCATCGTTCCCTGTCCAAATAGATTGTATCGAATCAATTTAGTCTCATGTATGGAACACGGATTTGAGACCAGGTTTATGCTTTCATTATTGAATTAAGAAAGAAAGATATTTGTAGTGAATGAAGCTACATTACCCTGAGGTAGATTGGTAAGGTAGGTTTAGTTTGAATTTTCTTCTTATGCATGCTAGCCTCAAGATCTTTAGTTATAGTTATAATTTTTAGCATAATGTATTATACAATACACAAAATACAATTGATGATGCTAAATCTTTACAGTAAATATTTACAGATTGAGACACAATTGTCTAAAAAAATTGGAGATGAATTTACAAATTACGTGAAAACTTCAATACGTTTGCTACTACTTAGCCTTCTTTTTCCGTCACATGTTAGCCGCCATCTGCGGGTTATAAATGGGCATCATTAAAATCATATCTTAAGAGGAGTATAAATGGTATATTTAATTGGCTAAGAATTTCAATTGTGTGAATTAGAATTAAGTCTCTAAAGTGTTCGACAGAAAAAAATGATTAAGTTCTTGAAATGATACCACAATTAAATTTATGCAAATGTATACCTAAAGATGTCGAGAAAAACAACTTTCCGTCAAGTGCTCAATGATGTATATTTCCAATTTGAATTATCTCGACCATTCCACTAATTTCATTGTTGCTAACATACGCTGCTTATGTCTACCATTCATCGTTTACGAACAAAAATATAGACTCACAAAATGTAATGAAGAAACATAACATGCATTTAACATAAATTCTAATGGCATACAAAATATATAGTAGCGCTACACAAGTCTTTATATTACATATATAACCCGAACAACCCGTTGACTAAAATACTAATAATCAAGCCGGTCCTTTTGGTTTCCCATCCGATTCCAAGCATCCTTTTCCCTTGCGGAATGTCACTTGTAGTAGTGACACCTCGACATCTTGTGTCTCAGTTATTCGGGCTAGAGTTTCGAGCATGCTAGGCAAGTCTTGAACTTCTTCATTCCGCAAGTCTTGAACTTCATCATTCCTTGCAACAATTATAACTCCATTGACGTCACTACATTGTTCACTTGATTCTCCTTCATCCACCCAATCGAAATATCCACAATTGTTACTGCAAGTGTTGAATAATCACCCTTTGTTACGTGTTTGTTTTTCAACCTCGAAGCATTTCTGAAATTTGTGTGGACACCATGGGCAACGATGTTTTCTCGTGCATTCCCATAATGAGTGCCATTTGCGTCGACAACTGTGACATATTCCAACATTCCTTCCTCTCATGTTGAGATGGTCGACAACCACACAAACAAAATTCTTAACTCATGTAATAAACTGTAATCAGTAACGTAAATATTAGCACCATAATTAAATTGCCATGTCCAGGATTATGAGTTACAACCACCTCATTAGGACAACTCTGCTTTTATAGGCTTTAATTTACAAGGTGATTGAAGATAAATAAGGTGAATGATGATTCAAGGGTTGATCATTGAAGTCTGGGCAACAACGGTGAAGGAATTTGAAGGCATATCTACAACAAAAAAACTACCAAGCTAAAGAAATAACAAGAGAAATAGAAGTGAAATTGCAAACTTAAAAACAAAATACAATATGCAGAAGAATTTCACGGACCACAGCATATTGCAGAACTTAGCATGTTCAATCTGTCAATCCCATTTCTTCTTCAATTTCAAATATTTCAATCCATTAATTTACAAATCTATAACAATATTTGATTTCTCTAATCATTCTCCTGTGTTCTTCAACTTTTAATCACACAAACAATAAATAACCATTTAAATTAGTAGAATTTAAGGAACTTGACTATTCCTAAAATATTAATTGACACAGAATAACATAAAACATGTCATTTTCTACTTAGATAAGAAAAATTGGGTACTGTAGACATGAACTGAAGCTGAGATTTCGGAAGTTGCTAATAGGCACTAAACTTTAAAATCCTTACAATTAAGTCCTAAAAATTTGAAATTAATGGCTAGTCATTGGGGGTACGGGGTGCTATAAACCTCGCTATTGAAGGTGGAATCTGGCGCACTAGAGTTGGAAGGTTCTGGGCCAAACATTAGATTTGAGATCTGTGGCTGCAACCTATGGAGCTATTGGCCGAGAAAGAGGAAGATAATGAAGAATTAATTACACCAACCCAAGTGCAAGGCTTCCTGTTTTGCTTAAAAAGGCCCCAATCATTCTGTAAAACAAATCCAACCTGTTAAAAAGGATCTACCTCTAATATTGGTCCAAAACCACTTCAAGATACCAAAAAATTGCATCAACAGCTACATCCACATTCTCTGATTTGCAAAGCTCTTTTCAAATTAACCTCTTTACTTATTGGTGATTAGACTAAAAATGGAGAAGTGCCTCTGCTTTAGATGTGATGGAAAAAACTCTATTGGGCATCACTGCAAAAATAGTTCGCTGGGAGTATCGGGGGATGATGATTAGGAGGAATT